ACCAAAGGAGAACTCTATTGCATTGTTGGTGGGAGTGAAAATTTGTTCAACAACTCTGGAAAGCAGTGTGGAGGATCCTCAAAAGACTCCACATAGAGCTCCCCTATGACCCAGCAATCCCACTTCAGGGAATTTACCCAAATGTCCAAAAACAAGACCACACTAAAGCTACCAGTACAATGAGGTTCATCACAACATTGTTTGCAATAGCCAAGATATGGAACCAACTCAAGTACTCCTAAGTAGATGAATGAATCAAGAAAATGTGGTACATAAAAACAATGGAATTCTATGCTTCCATCAAAAAGAATAACATTATTCCATTCATAAGGAAATGAAAAGACTTGGAAAAAATTATATTAAGTGAAGTAAGCCAGACCCAAAGAAAAGCAGGCCACATGATCCCCCTCATTTGTAAGAACTAGAATATGTATATGATATTCTTAACAGAGTGTCTCATTAACCCAAGTGCTTAGTGCAAAGGACTATATAAAATGAAGCATATTAACATAAACTCCAACTTAAGCAAACAAGAGGTCCTCATTAGACCCTGTATATAGATCATTCTTTTTTCTCTATTGTTGTTTTTTACCTTCTTCATTTCTCTTACTTTTTTGGCACCTTGTGTTTTGCATAATAGATAATGCAATGTGTGAAAGGGAAAAGGGATCAGAGAAACAGCAGAACCATAACAACATTGATACTCACTTGACACTATATAGGATATGAACATTAAAACTTGTGGGGGAATAAGAAGGGGTAAGTGGGAGATAAAGAGTGGTGGGGTAACAATGATTTAAAACAAATGTACTTATTGCCTTAACTATGTAACTGTAACTCTCCTGCTCAATTGAAAAAAAAGAAAAGAAAACCCAAATAAATGGAAAAATATCCCATGTTCAAAGATAGAAAGACTCAATATTTTTCAAAAGAAAATATTGTGTCACTGGAACCACAGATTTCATTCAATTCCTACCAAAATCCCAGCTGGCTCCTATGAATTAAACTGACAAGCTGATACAGAAATTAATGGGATTAAGGGATCCAGGGTAGTGCAACTGATCTTTAAAAAGAAAAATATTGGATATTCACAAATACTGTTTTCAAATTTTTACAAAGCTACAAGTGTACAATACTATGGTACAGGTGTAAGAACAGATATGTAGGCTGATTGAATACAACTTAGAATATAGGAATGGCCTTCATATTTATGAGGACTTGAGTCTTGACAAGGGTGCCATGAAAGTCAATGGGAAAGGATAGTATATTCATTACATTATGGGAGGATGACTGGCTACATACATGCAAAATAATAAAGTTTAGAGTCTACCCTCATTCCAAGTGATACATAAATATTAACTCAAAAACATATCATAGACCCAAAGGTAAGAATAAAAACTGTAAAACTCTTAAAAACTTAAAACTCTTTGTAACCTGATCTTCAGAAAAAGCGAATTGGAGCTATTTGAGAGGCTCAGATCCAGAGAATCATAGATTAAGGCCAGCCCTGACACACGTGTGAGACTCCTTCTCAATCAATCAGCTGTGTGTAGTGGTGCATGCCTGTTACAGTAACTTTATCATTGATCAGACTGAATTTCCAGGAAAGCATAAACAGAAAAAAAATCTGTGAGACTCCATTTCCAGTGATGTGCCCAGCTGTGACAGGCAGCCTGGATGGACGATAGTATAAGCCAATGCCTAGAAAGAAAACAAGATTCTCTCTAAAAACAATCATTATACAAAAGCTCCGAAGGTGTGCCTCAGTGACACATTGCTTGCCTAGCTTAAATGCGAATCCATTGCCTCAAATTTCAATATCGTCTTCTTTATCAAATCATTTCCTTATGGATGGGGCAACATCATTCTTTCTGATGGATGAGTAGAATTCCATTGTGTATCCACATTTTCTTGATCCATTCTTCTGCAGAGGGGCATCTGGGTTGATTCCATAACTTGTATGGTAAACAATGTTCTAATGAACCTGGATGTACTAGTAACTTTAGTGTGGCCTCATTTGTGGTCTATTAGATAAATGCTCAGGAGTGGAATTGCTGGGTCATAGGGAAGCTCTATGTTTAGTCTTTTGAGGAACCTCCACACTGTTTTCCAGAGTAGCCAGACCCAAAGAAACATGGAGTACATATAAATAAAATCTGCAAGTAAACACACTGTATGTTAAAAGAGAGTTGCACATGATAAATTATATAGCACGCTAGACAGTTACACAGTAGCTAGACCCAAAAAACATGGGGGTACATGGCTTCCCTCATTTGTTGCAACTAGAAAGTACCTACAGCTCTAAAAGAAACACACTGGATGGAAAAGACCAAAACAGGATTCCAGACATTTACACAGACCAAAGGAGAATATTCTTAGGAGAGGTTCACAAAGGTTGAATATCTATGGACTTACGATCATATAAAATAATGTTTATTGAAATTAATCCAAGAAATGGAAACAAAAGGTTTTGTGTTATTTTGCTGTTTCTTTTTTTTCCTTTGTAGCTGTTTTTGATTTCTGTCCATGAGACTCAATCTTTAATTAGTCACCAAAAAACCCCAGAAGAGGAGCTGTGGCTCAAGAAGTAGAGCTCTAGCCATGAGCAAAAAAAGTTCAGGCAGCATTCATGCTCTGAGTTCACCAGGATTGGCACCAAAAAATTAATTCTAAGTCATGGCTTAGAATTACTGGTGGCTCACACCTGTAATCCTAGCTACTCAGGAGGCTGAGATCTGAGGTTCAGGGTTCGAACTAAGCCTGCAGTGGAAAGTCTCTGAGACTCTTAGCTCCAATTAACCACCAGAAAACTAGAAGCAGCACTCTGGCTCAAAGTATTAGAGCTCTCGTCTTGAGCAAAAGAACTGAGAGACAGTGCCCAGGCCCTGAGTTCAAGCCCATGATTGAAAAAAAAAAAAACTCTAATAATTCTTGGCATGTTTTCTTGAAGTATAAATGGGAATACATTACATAATTAAGGCTGATCTACAAGACAAAATATTTAGATTCCCTTGTTCAATCACCTGTTGCCCCCTGGTAACAGTAACTGTAGGGACTACAATTTTTACCCATGGGGATTAGAGCAGGAGTTTAAGTCTGCAAATGGATACTTGCTGGGTTCTTACTGAACATAGAATGCCTGGAGAGAAAAGACACAATTGAGATTTCATTCTAGACAATGAGTACTTTTCCTTGAGGTTAAGAAATTAATCTGGGAAGTGTAGCAGTGTGCACTATTGGGAGGTTATATTTCTAGTGATCATATATATATATATGTATATATATATATATATATATATATATGCATGTTCATGTGTATATATATTCTTCTCTACAGCAAAAAGCTAAAGCTTTTGGGAGATTATATTTCTAGTAATCATATATATGCACATGCATGCGTATAATTTCATATATTCTTTTTTTTTTTTTTTGGGTCCGGTCGTGGGGCCTGAACTCTGGGCCTGGGCACTGTCCCTCAGGCTCTTCAGCTCAAGGCTAGCACTCTACCACTTGAGCCACAGCGCCACTTCCAGCTTTTTTCTTTTTGCTTATGTGGTGCTGAGGAATCGAACCCAGGGCCTCAGGCATGCAAGGTAAGCGCTCTACCACTGAGCCACCTTCCCAGCCCCTAATTTCATATATTCTTTTGGGAGGCTTGTGTGTATGTGTGAGAGAGAGGGAGAGTGTATATATCTGTATATATATACATATATATATATATAGAGAGAGAGAGAGAGGAGGGAGAGTTGTTGGGAGTGTAGAGGGAACAAACTTCAGTTATCTCAATTAGCTCTTCTGTTGAATGCCCAAATTCTACCTTTTTTTTTTTTTTTTTGGTCCAGTCATGGGGCCTGAACTCTGAGCCTGGGTGCTGTCCCTCAGCTCTTCAGCTCAAGGCTAGCACTCTACCACTTGAGCCACAGCGCCACTTCTGGCTTTTTTCTTTTTGCTTATGTGGTGCTGAGGAATCGAACCCAGGGCCTCAGGCATGCAAGGCAAGCGCTCTACCACTGAGCCACCTTCCCAGCCCTCCCTTTTTTTTTTTTTTTTGAGAGGAGAAATAGTTGCAAAAAAGTTCTGGATAAAATTAAGATGATAATGACTAGGGTTAATTTTTTTTTTTTTTTTTTGCTTCTTCAGCTCAAAGCTATCTGCAAACATATGCATCATTTATAGTTTGCTGGAATGATCTCCATATATCTCAATGCTTTTACATGAGCCATTTAAAACCCACACATAGAAAGAATCCAGACCAGAATTTGTAGAATTGGACTGACTGAGGAGTTTGCCTAGCACAAATCTTCAAAAAATGTTAGCTGTAAGCCAAGCGCTGAAGACTCACACCTATCATCCTAGCTACTCAGGAGGCTGAGATATGAATATGGGTCAAAGCCAGGCCCGGCAGGAAATTCCCTAAAATCATTTTCTCCAATTAACCAACAAAAATCCAGAGGCAGAGTTGTGACTCCCGGGACACAGCCCCAACACAGCCCCAGTACCCCGCCCCCGTTCCGCCCCCCCACCCCATTAGCTGTTAACACTAGTATTATTATTTTATTCCTCTGAAAAGCCATTAGTTTGGTCTGTCTTATCCACTGCATATATAAAGCATCTTGGTGATCACAACCTCCCTGTGACCCAGGCCACTTCTGCCGTTTATTTGGACCTAATTTTAACATTAGACAAATGAAGAAGTTGGATTTCTTAAAATTTTGAACTGCAAGTTTTTCTCCCTTCTTGAAGTTACCCGGGTACTCTGTAACCCAGTAACTCTTGGAAGCTAGGACACCTGGCTTTGAGCAATGCTTGGTTTGTAGCCCTTGTGGGGGACAGGGTTGCTGGTTTCATGAAGAGGTAATGTTTACCTTTCCCAGGGCAGAGGTTGTGAAGCTTAAGAAAATCGGAGGAAACAGATGCCAGGGACAGATGTTACCCAATTTGACCAAAGGACAAAGAGTGTGTGAGATACTTGGAAATGCGTGCATGGGGACAGGAACACTTGCAGGAAGAGCAGAAACCCGATCTCCCTGCATTTCAGAGTAGGGCTGCTGCATCTCAGAGGATGGGCCCAATGTAGTGAGTATTTGCAGTATCTGGGATTTTGAACTGGAAGCTTCTGGGTTGGGACCTTGACTACAATGTTACTAGTGTTATGTTGTACAAGGTACTCAATGGCTTTGGGCCTCAGTTTCCTCATGTATAAAATGAGGCAAATATCTCATGGATGAGGCAATCAGGAGGATGGACGGGGACATGGTAGGGTGGGAATTTATTAAGTGGAAACTGCTCTCATTAAAGGAATAGTAATAATCTTTCTAATTCCAGACACCTTCAGGTTTACTTGTGCTTTAGTGAGAATTCGCCAACTCTCTGTCGTTTTATATAATGATTGCACCCCTGCTCATTGCTCACCCAGACCACCCTTGACAGTCCAGTGTAGGTAAGAGTACTTGGAGAGGGGGGGAGGAATGGGGGAGCTCCAAGACCCCTTGGCTCCCCGGTAGGGTGAGGCCTGTCATGGCGGCCCAGCAAAGGCCCAAGGTGATCTAAGATCGAACAGCAGGAACGGGAGGGTGCCAGGGTCAGTCTTGTCCAGATCCCCCCTCCCGCCGCGGTCCTGAGGGCCAGGCTAGCGCGGGCACCCTCTCTTCTCGGACCTGGTCTCCCGCGGCGCTGGGCCCAGACCCGGGCTCTGCCAGGCGTGCCTGCGCCCACCTGGGGAGGTAGAGGTGCTGGGCCCAGGAGACCGCCGCTGAAGCCCCAGCAGGGACGGGAAGCGACTCCAGCGCCCCCGCCCCCCCCCACCCCCCACCCCCCTCCCGGAGCGCCCCGGGCAAGAGCTGGGCGGGCCGGGAGCCCTCCCCGCCCCCTCCGCGCCGCTCCCGCCCGCCCGCGGCCCCCTCCCACCGGCGCTCCTCCCCTCTTCCCACCCTCCTCCTCCTCCTCCTCCGCCCCCTCCCCTCCCCCGCCGCCTCGCACACCGCTGCGCCGCGCGTCCTCGCCGCCCGGGCCGGGAGCGCCGGCGGGGAGGCCACCGCACCTGCAGGGCACTTGGGCTGCCCGGGCCGGCCCCCTAGGTCCTCGCCGCCGGATCCCCTTCGAACCCCTCTCCCCTCGCCAGGTCGCCTATGACGCCCGAGACCCCACGTTGGCGACCATGACCACTTCCTTGCAAGATGGGCAGAGCGCCGCGGGCAGGGCGGCCGCCCAGGACTCGCCGCTGGCCGCCCAGGTGCGCGGAGCTGCCCAGGGGAGGGGCGACGCCCAGGACCCGGCGCCCGCGGCGTGGCTGCCCGCGCGGGCGCTCCTGCCCCCTCCGGACGGGACCCGCGGCTCCGCCGCAGACAGGTAGGTAGGCAGCCCCGGAGGGCGCGGGGGAGTGTCTGGGGTTGGCAGCCGGTGAGGTGGTGAGGAGGCGGTCCTAGGGGGTGAGCCTGGTGCCCAGAGCTGGGCCAAGTTTGTGAAAGTCTCTGAAGACGATTCCCTGTGAACTGGCTCCTATCAGAAAGGCAGGACATTGCGATCCCACAGCGCCTTATAAATAGCATCACCGTTTGATTAGATCTCCCCTGTCCTGGGTCTCTGTCTCTGTGAACTAGGAGGCCAAACTCCAGACTGACTTCTTGCTGCTGCTGCTGCTTTGATGGCCCTGTATGTTTTTTTTTAAATAAACAATTTGTTTATTTTATAGATTAAAAAAAATGGAATGAGCTCACCTCCCACATAGTCTCAACAGCGACCCTAAACAGCAAAGCATGGATTGACATTTGAGCAGTCTACTGTTCAACAGCAAAGAAAAGGCTTTAAAAGATTTCCAAGCTCCACAGCATTCAACACGGAGTGCCTATTTAGACTTGCTATGCATTAAGAAAACGGCTTCAACAATACCCAAACAACAACAAAAATATATGCTTTATAGCCATACATTTAAATGGCACTATTTTCCTTTCAGATTTTGAAAGTGCTCTGACTTCGGTGAAGTTAAAATTCTTCTGCAGTGGACTAGAGTACATTTATACTAGCAAATTCTACTAACTTACCTCTTCAGAAATACTGCCTTGCTGTTTAGTATCTATAAGAACTTGGAAAAATCAACAGACTGTGTGTGGGCAACATTGTGAATGAAATTCAAAGTGAGACGAACTACAGCTATAATTAATAAATAATAACTTTCAGAAGTGTTTAGTAAAATACCATAGGGATCTGTCCACTAAATGTAACTTAGTGGCTTTTTCAAGTTAATGGATGCGTGACGATCTCTTAACTCCTCAGGGTAATTTTTACCTTAATCATCATATGCTCCATATTGCTGCTTCAGGAAAATTCACCAGTGTGCAGGAAATGAAATATCTTAGTGGCAGTTTAAAAGGCAAAAAAGGAAAGGAATATTAGATTTATTTATATCAATTACCATATTGTATTTTGTTCTACGGAAAGTACTGAAGACCTATCCTGCTCACTTTCTATAATATTATCATTGTCACAGGATAGTACATGTTGGCTTTAACAACACTTTTTCATCCTGACAGCAATTATATTTTACATTCTGTTTTATGTAAATTACATTCTATGTTCTCTTGGTGTAGGAGAAAAAAGAAAGATCTTGATGTTCTGGAACTGCCATCTATTCCAAACCCTTTTCCTGAGTTGTGCTGTTCTCCATTTACATCAGTGTTGACAGCAGGCCTGTTTCCCAAATCAAATTCAAAGAAAAAGCAGGTATGAGTTTCTAATTTGTTTTTAATCCAAACAATTTAGGAGTTATAAATCCATACAGTATTTTAAGATTTCTCAGGCACTTAGTATTTAACAAAGATTAACATAGTGTTAAATATGACATTTCCTATAGTAGGTCTTTTGGTTTCCTTTCAGATTCTGTTTTCTCAACTGTATCAGGGCAATTTCTTATTGTATTGGTTTACAAAAGTGAGTAGATCAAAAGTCCAGTGCCTAGGAACTATTACTGTTAATCAGGTAGGTTGTAGAGTTATGTTTGATAGTAGATTGTCCATTTTAAGTTCCAATTTTAATTGGAAGGGTGTGGATCAGTAATTGAGAAGGGCAAAATGGGGTTGACTATTTCTTTAATACCTTCTTTCATCTTATACATTACAACAATATCAATCTTATTGACCAAAGACAAGTGGTACAGTAAATGGCAAAAGGTAAAGGAGTTTAGGGTCAGACTTAATCTTCTTCATTTTACTGGATTCCACACTTTGAGACCTCTAACTACAGAAGGCTTATGACTTATGATCATTAGAAGACGGAATTCATATGTGCGTGTGTGTGTGTGTGTGTGTGTGTGTGTGTGTGTGTGTGTGTGTGTGTGTGCACATGAGCACGCAGATCCTGGGGCTTGAACTTAGGGACTGGGTGCTGTCCTTTAGCTCTTTTGGTCAAAACTAGATCTCTATCACTTGAGCCACAGCTCCACTTCTGGCTTTTTGGGGCTAATTGGAGGGAGATAGAAGTCTCACAGACTTTCCTGCATGGCTGACTTTGAACCACGATCCTCAGATATCAGTCTCCTAAGTAGCTAGGATTAAAGACATGAGCCACCAGTACCTGGCTAGAAGATAGATTTTTTTTCTGGTCATAGGGTTGAATTCTGGGCCTGGGGGCTGTCACTCAGCTCTCCAGCTCGAGGCTAATGCTTTACCACTTGAGTCATAGCACCACTTCTGGTTTTCTGGTGGTAAATTGAGATATGAGTCTCACAGACTTTCTTTCCCGGGCTGGCTTTGAACCATGATCCTCAGATCTCAGCTTCTTAAGTAGCTAGGATTACAGCCACTGGTGCCCAGCTGAAGATAGAATTTTTAAAATAATTTATTTCCCCTCTCAAGTTTGGTTTTTAGTTTGAGATTAACAAGGACAATTTAGAATGTAATAGCCAAACAATGAGGAGGTGATGCATGATGATTGTATGTTTTCAGAAAAAGGATCAGTGAATCCTAAATTAATTCATGTCTTGTCATCTATTTCAAGTTGACAAAACAAAGAGAAGCTTCATTTGACAAATTGTACCTTGTTCTTGTGTACTAGATATAATAATTGAGGCAGCTATGTGCTCATAAGAAAGAAATGGTAATCAGAGAAGGGAGAAGGCAGAGATAATGGTTCCCTTCTATACCTTTGTTACTTCTAGTTGCTTCAATGATGTGGTGTATATACTTTTGAAAATTGGGGAAATACCCTGGGCAGTAGACACATGCTCAATAAAACAGGGCAATAACACACAATAGGAAATGTTTTTTATATGGACATATAGTATAAGTAGATACCTTGGAGAAATGAGATTTTAAGTATATTTGAATATGATTTGATTGTGGATCCTTAAAGAGATTTTTCTGGGAGGTTTACTATCAGGGACAAGTTTGAAGTCAGATCTCAAAGAAAACAAAACAAAACAACCTATTGGAACATCTAAGCTCTTCAGAGTTTGGATTTCAGTTTGGGAAACAGGGATGATATAGATTTGGCTCTGCGCTATGGTGGTGAGAAAAGTTGATTCAGCTTGTCCCTGACAACCAAAATGGGAACAGAAATGTTTGATGATGATATAGTATTTATTTGGGGGAGTTTGGTAGCCAATTTCTCTAATTATGGAAGCATTGCTACATTTCCCTCACCAGGCTAGGCATTATACACCTTGGTACTCATAACTCACACAAAAGTGACATTAACCAAAGCTGGTCTTTGATTTAGATGGTATAGTTGGAGTTGGAGTTGAACAGAGGAAGAGGAGTAGAAAGATAGTAGCCTGGATACGGAATGAACATGAGAGCTGGAGGATCTTGGCTTAAGGCTAGGCTGAGTAGAAAAGTCTGTGAGAGTCCATCTCCAAAATATAGCAAGCAAAAAAGAAGGCTGGAGGCATGGCTTAGGTAGTAGAGCACCAGCTGAACAAGCAAGCTGAGCAAACACAAAACCCTGAGTTCAAACCCCAATACCAGCCGGAAAAAGTGTTGGTATGTTCAGGTTATTACAGTGAGGAGAAAGAAAGAGAGAAGGGGAGGTCTCAGAGTTAAAGTGATGTGTGTGTGTGAGGGTAGTCAAGAAACTACAGTAAGACATAGCAGACATGTTTTTTCCAAGTTAGGCTTAGCATATTAGAAGACAGGGAAAAGATGACACACTGATATTGAGTCCAGTAGGTGGCTTGCTCTGTCCAGTATCCTATGTTCAGCAGCCTGGACAGAGAGTGCGTGCTGCACTCACATAGCCAGCTGTGCTTTTTCATGAGCAGGGAGCCCTAGCTTGAATCTAGGGACCAAATCTACAGTACTGTCTGCCTTTCAAAAGCACTTCTTGGCAATCTATTCCTAGGACCAAAGACTGGGGTAGTACTTGCTCTGAAGAGAACATCCCAAGGTTTTGGAAGAGGAAGGTTCCTTTTTGCCTTAAATATCCTTTTCCCACACCTAGCCTTTGTATGGAGAACTGATTTTTATTCCTTTGGACATGCTCAGTTCTTTGCAAAGAGAAAAGTTTTGAGTATATCTGACTATGTCAGTGATTTCCCCAGGCTCAGAGTCTTTGTGACACACATATCCCTTTTACACGATGCTATTTCTGGCCCAATTCTTTCTAGCCTTTGGTTGAGATGATGTCAATGATAGTATTTGATAGTATTCTTCTACTGAATATTACTTATATTTGAATCTTTACATGAAGATGTCTCTGTTCTTTATATTCGCTTTCATTTGTTTAACTATTTCAGTCATTTTAGAAATTCATATTTACATATGAATAACCAGAAAGTTTGAGAGAATGCAAAATAGAAACATTGAAAATTTCATTTGGCCTTTCAAAACCACAGTCAGAAATCTCTTTTATAGCACTGTATAACAGAATTTGAGATGCCTACATGATGCGTAAGTGGTAAAGTGCATTGAAGCCACAAATAGGGAATGATTTAGATTGTTTTGTAGATAAAAGTCCCAAACTATACATGTTGTAGGCTTTCAGTATTATTACTTTAAGATGAAAAATCTAGTGTTTATTCTGTCTGTCTCTTTTTTATGATGTTCACTACATTAAACATTAAGCCTATTTGTGTTTGTTAATAACATGCAAATTGATAACTCAATAATAAGTATCTATTATACATATATATGTATATATACATATATAAATGTATAGACAATTCAGCTACACATACTAAAACAACTTATATTATGAATTTGATCTTTTTAAAATTTTCTGATTAAGCTTGGTAAGCAGTCATTCTTTAGGAGTGACCTGAAACACGTAGTACTGAAGAAAAAAGGGAATAAGAATTAACCACTGGCTAGTTATGTGACTGGACACTGCTTGTGTAGGAGCTCTATTTTGATTGTTTTCTAGAACTTTATAGATGAATTGAGGTAGAATATGGTTCCTGAACATTTTGAAAATTAAACCTATGAAAAACTGTGAGTTTAGAGGGATGTTTCTTTCACAAATATGTAAATTGGGCCTAGGAACTGGTAGGTAGCTAAGAGTGACATGACTAGCACCAGAAATCTGTGTTTCTTGAAGGTTCAACAGTTACTTTATAGGAAAACATAATTTCCCAGAAAACAATGATTATAAGTATACTATAAGAAATAACATATATCAGCATGGTTAGTTACAACTTTGCCCATAATATACAAATAGTAAGGGTGATAAATACTATTTGTTAATATTCTCTAAGATCCTGAAATTTTCCTTTTGTTTTCCACTGCTTCTTGAAATATAATTAATTCTTTTATTTGGTCTTCTTACTTTTCTCTCCTAAACTTGATATGAAAGATCTGTCAAAGAATTGGTTTATCGAATCGAGTAGTATTTATTAGTGTTGCTTATAACCAACTTTTATGTGTAGTATACAGCCCATTCCATTTTATTCCTGAAAATACTAGGAAGTCTGTCATCTACTTCTTTTTTTTGTAGGTCATGGTTCTTGAACTCAGGGCTGGGATCCCGTGCCTGAGTTCTTCACTCAAGACTAGCATTCTACCTCTTTGAGTCACAGTGTCACTCCCAATTTTCTGGTGGTTAACTGGAGATAAGAGTCGCACAGACCTTCCTGCTAGAGCTGTCCTGGAACCTTGATCCTTAGATCTCAGCCTCTTGAGTAGCTAGGATGACAAATACACCTAGCTACGCCACCCACATTTTAAGACTTAAAAATGAATGTGCGTAAATTTGAAGTGATTTGTCCATACTTATAGTTTAAATAAAGAAAACACAAAAGGGTATTTTATCTTTATGTGGTTTGCCCCTTTTTATACCATTTCTAGTCTGTTCTTTCTGAAGTAAGCTTTTATTGTACATCTGAAGAAAATTAAGAAATTAGATTTCTGTACTCTGTCTCTGATTTCTCTTTCTTTTAGTGTTTCAGGGACTTTCAAGAGATAAATTGGTGTCTGTGCTCAAATTAAAAGTCCTCTTACTTCATCCTTTTTGATACATTAATAATTCCTGATTTTATGTGCTGAACCTATAAGTGTAGTGCCAAATGACTCGTGTGGCGGCTGTGTTGACTCAACTATTACTTGCTCATTTTTCTGATATACACAGAAATAGAGAGATACTCTACTTCTTGTACTCTCATCTCTCCAGACTCAAGATTTACCTTATTTTTTTATTTATGAAGATTTGTTTAGTTTATCTAGTCTTAAAACTTTTGGTTTCTTTTTCACAATAGTTTGCAATAAATCGTAGACAACCTGTCATTGCAATTCTAC